GACCCTGAGCGCTTGTTATGTGATCCGCTCCGCTTTTTTGACGCACCGTTCACTTAAAATGGTGCTGTTACGGCTCGCGGTCCAGATGGATGCCGGGGTGCGGATGCGGTCCGCCTTTTGAATATCAGTTATTTAAGGATAAAAGCCTTGAGTTGCTTATAAAATTTTCACGAGTCCTTTTCCTGGAGTCGAGTCAAGTCTGGAGTCATTTCAGGTCGAGTCTGAGTCAAGTCTGAAGTCTATAAAAATGCGACTCGAGTCCGAGTCACTAACTCGAGTGCCCATCTCTGTTATGTATTCTACACTCATGGCATGCACACACATTAGGATAGGTTAGATGCCTGTCTCCGTTGTGAGTCCCTATCTAGCACTTTACCGATTCAACTACTCTCTTCTCCTCCTCCTGCCTGGCTCTTTGGCCCGCATCACTCACCGCAGAGCAAGCCTGTTCTTGATAATGCTGCTGTGAAAACGTGGGAAAAGCCGACGAGGAAGAAGTTGGGGTGAAGCGATCTTTATATGCAGAGCAAAATACTTCATCGCTCCGTCTATAGCGCATTGTGAGTGGATGGTTTACTCTATCAATACAGGAGACAAACCAATGGGCCACTGGCTGCTCGCTGTCCCTGCGTGATGGTCCTTGGCAAAAAAAACCATTCTGTCGGCCCCTTAAGTGCGTCGGCCCACCGGGAAAATGCCCGGTATGCCCGATTACCAATCCAGCCCTGGGTGTGACCAAAAATATAGCCTAATAGAAATGTTATATAGGCAACAAAGGGCTTTGTAATTGAGGAAAAAAGTTAACTATATATATTTAAATGTGATTTATATTGCAGAATAGTAAAACAACCGTTTTAAAGCAATAAAGCAAAAAAATGTTTTTAGTGCTGCTTTTGCCAGAAGTAGGTTGTCTGTTTTCTAGTTTACACTGTCAGTGACTTTGTGGCAGCATGTTGCCAGTATCTGGACTGGGTTTTCACTAGTCAGTGTTCACAGTTATTTAGCATCATGCTTATGTAGTTGTAGCACAGTTGAATGAGTATAACTCATGTGTGGTGCTTTGCTCTGATAATCATTAAGATACACACCAGTTCAAAATGATAAGATGTCATGTAATACCACCACCCTAAAATGTTGCTAACTGTGATTTATGAGTTAATAATTCATGATATTTGTAAAAATACTCGTTATCCTGTAAATATATTTAAAACGTTTTTGAAAACAATGACTTTATATACAATCACATGTATTAATTAGTAAGGAATAGGTTGGTGATAGTTACACTACATTACATTTTTAGTCATCAAAATTATTTTTGTTTAAAATGGTATAAAAGTTCACAAACTTACGAAACCACATTGTAAAGGACTATATGCATGCACGTCAAAATACATTTGTACTTTTCTTTATCTTTGACACACATTTTTCACTGACTCCTTACATACAGTAACTACTTAATTTTAGGTTATCCAGTGCTTTGAGTTTGCCTAATTGCAGTCACATTTACAACAATTACAGTTAAAAGAACAACAGTGATGATTCAGCTTGGTTTATTTAATGCACATTTTATTTGTGAAAGTCTACAAAAGGGTGAGAAAAAAGTCTTATGCAGATCCATACAATTTTAATTGGTAATTATTTTTGTTACTACAGTTTATTATTGCAGTGATAATGGATTTGGTTTAATTATGACAGGTAGATAGCTATGTAAGCGTTGAAAGTGTTACCAATGACTAAAAGAAATCTGACAAAAGCTAATAGCAATGCAAAATGGCACTATGTAACACACCACACCAGTTTACTTCCTGTCTTGCATCAGGTATTGATGTAAGTATTTCTTATGCCATCTGCATTAACTGCATAGAGTTGGTGCACATCTTTCAATAACCCAGCAAACTGCTCCTCCTGTTATCAGACACAAATGCAAGTGTTAGCTTAGCCATATTGTATGTAGAAGCCTGCATTAATGATAATGCATTTGTAAAAGTAGAACAGAGGAGAAAACCATATAACTCACCAAAACATTCATCCGTTCTACTGCAGCCACAGCAACATTCAGCTTTCTTTCGTCTTCTTCTCTCTCTTCTTCTATTACACCCAGTCTGCACAAACAAGTAGGAGAAAGAGAAATGATCCCAGAAGTCCTATGAGTATTTACCAATGAAAACATTTGAGTTCTTTTAACTAAAAATTTGACTTTTGAAAAAATGTTTTACCTGAAAGTTGCACTTGCCAGCTGTTCCTCCCGGATGGCTACCAGATTATGAAGATGCTGAACCTCTGCCTGTAGCTGTGTATTCTGATCTTGAGTCAGGACTATGAGGTCTTCTAACCGCTTGGCCATCTCCAGCTCGCGCTCGGTCACCTGCTCAACGCCTAAACGCAACTCAGCCAACTCTTGCGCATGCTATGAGACACCAAAAATTGGTCAACATACTGTGGCATTTTATTACACAATTTCCATAATTTATTACACAAGTTACTTCTGACAAAACATCAGAGTAGTGGTAAAATAGCTTTACTTAGACAAGTATGGTAACACACCATTTTAGTTTTTCATGAGACTGACATTAAAAATTCATACTATTGTGCTTTATTATACAGTAACACTTGATGGTCCTGAAACCAGATGCTTTTA